CTACAGCCAATGAGAGACCAAGATACAGGGCAGTGGGAAGTTCGGGGAGGAGTTATATGAAACGTAGTTTGCGGACCAGTGTTGCCAAATCCGCGATTGCCACCGGTTGTTTTTTTATGTGAGCAGGTTGAAGCGACCCCAATAATGTGATATTTAGGCCCTGGAATGTGAATTGTACCAGGAGAACCCCACCCAAAAAATGTGTATTTTACCCCCCAACATGATTTTTACTGGGGGACCCCCTCGAAAGCAATTGGGCTATTTTCAGGCTAGTTTTGAGTAGTAATTGGGCGGGTTTTGTAGCGAAAACCTGGCAACCCTGCACCAGACAGAGCTGTCAGCGATTCTTCCTATTGTGAAGTCATGGAGTGCATAACCTCCTGTCGTGTCCGACGAGTTTGAAAAGCATGCAGTGTGAACTCGGCATAAGTGAAACGGCATCAAATGTCTGTTTTGTTGGTGATCAGCACAAGTGCTCGTCACTCTTTAGCTCCGCCCACGGCACACCTCCAGGAGCTCAGCTGTTTTCGAAGAGAATCATAAAGATTTCTTTCTTTTAGAAATATGATAAAACTAAAGACTACTAAAGACTTTTTGGAGATATGAAGGATGCAGTACTACTCTGTATGTACTCGAGATTAACATGAGATTGGGTGAAACTGTGTGTGTTATGCCCCCTTTAAACGACAACACCATTTGATCTCAAACTAACTGTACAAATCTCTAAATATTATTCCCTATAATGCACAAGGCTCGTTTTTTCAGATTATGCCTTTATTGTTTTTATATACGGTACTGAAACCATATTTTTTATTTGTTTAATATACTGTACCTACGTAAATTCATTAAACTCTGCCACCGTTATCAACCCAACTGTGAAATTCTGTAAATATTTGACACAGGAGGACCCATGCTCGTGATCTCGTCTAGAGCCCCATAAACTTCACGGAAGGCACTTGCGTGGGACGATGTGAGCAGATCACTTCCTGTTTACACAGTCAGACTTTCCTCTAGATAGGTTAGTGGTTGCTGCGAAACAGGTTATTTCTCTACTCTATCCATCACTGGACGGCTTGCCTGTTGCTTTCGAAATGTGTCTTTTTGCTATTTTATTTCTCTGCAGCAGAAATGCTGTCACGCAAAATAGAGCAACGAATTGTTTATTGTAAAGCTTTATGAACGCTTTGCAATAAATAAAATAGCCTACCTGAAAACCCGACCGAGGTGAGTGTAACAGCACGTGTTTAAAGTAGTATGAATATTGTAGAATACTGTGACTCAGTTCTTTGTGTGTTTGGAGTTTATATGCATTTTGTTTATTTTAAAAGTCAGTTAAGGTTTCGTTTTCGGTATGTTCTGTACACTGCGAGCTTATTGGAACAGCATGAATCTTTTGTATTTTTACAGCGCAAGTCCTAGTGCTTTTAGACTAAATGTCACCATGTTTTTATTAGTATATTGACACAACTATGAAGTTTTCAAAATTATTTTACAATATGTATTCAAGACTGTAAATTCACATGTACATGGAGTTGACTTACAATGAAATGAAGCAGTGAACGTGTGAAACAAATGTAAACTTTATTGACTTTGTTTAATATTTTATTTTTAAAAAACTGTCACACCACAGTAGATTAACTGCATACAAGTTAAAATAAAAATGGAAATGCAGCATCCCAGAATGTATCCAAACACACTCAGGATCTTTGTCACTCCATATTTAACTTTAGTTAAATAGTAATTATTTTGTGGCTTTCTATTTGTGTAGTTGTTTCTCGGAGTGATCGGTGGAAACCTCCGTGAGGACTGAATGATCCATGGACGAGACACAAACATTTAGAGATGGAGACTTTCATCCAGAAATCAGGTACTCACATTTAAGTCACCATTAAATGATCTTAATGAGGAGGAGAGTTTCAGAGATATAATGGCATCTTTTTATACAGTCAAATTACTAATACAAACAATAAAGAGATCAGAGCTTGAACCCTTAGAACTTATTTGGATATTATACTTTAATGGTATCATATTTCACAATTGTGTCCCAAACAACAACAATTTACATTTGACGCTGCACAGTATATAAAAAACAGCTTTTTAAATATAGCCTGCTGACACACACACCTACACACACACACACGTGTTTTAAAAATGACTTTATTACTTGATTGACAAGTTAAAACTAAATAAATCTCCCAGAAAAATTTTCAAAGAAAACTCCTTCCTTTTTATTCTTAGGAAAGATTTTGATATGTATTTAAACTCTTTAAGAAACTCTAATAATTTTATTGCATGTAAGACTCATATAAGATAACATAGTAATCTTTAAATTAATGTATATAACCCTCATTGTTTTTGTTCTTATTTTATCTTTGTATTTGTAATTGTTATTCTTTTACTGCATAATAATAATAATAATAATACAAAGTTTGTTCTGAGAGACTTCTTAGGATTTATGGGGATTAAAAAAAGGAGTGGGTGGATTTTTATCGTTATAGGGTGGTTATGTTCATACACTGCCAACACACATTTATATCCAAACACCATGTAAAAGTGAATTTTGCATAATAGGTGCCCTTTAAAAACACTAATAAAAGTATTATAGACAAAATTCATGAAACATGTTTTATTCAAATTCATTATGTAGCACACTTCCACTAGATACAGTCCCAGACTTCACACAAAAATGTAAATTCTGTCATAATTTACTCACCCTAAAATTGTTCCAAAACTGTAGTTTTTTTTTTCTTCATCTGACCACCAAAGAAGATTTTTTATTTTTTTTTACCCATTGAATATGGGTAACCAAACAGTTGCTGTTGTATGTTTTTTTTTTCTTTCATACTATGAAAGTCAGTGGGGACCAGAAACTGTTTGGTTGCCAACATTCTTCAAGATATCTTTGTGTGTGAGTGTGTGTCTTTAACAGAATAATAAACATTTAATTTCTGGGTGAACTGTCCCTTTAACAGCACGTTGCTATGCAACAAACATGCCATAACATTAAATGACATCTGAAATATAATTTGTATATTTGTGCTCTTTAAGGCCATCTACCAAGATAAATCAGAACCCAGTTGTGTGTCCATGAGGAGTGAGCGGTCAATGGGATGCCCTCCAAAATTTAATGGTGAAATCTTTCCTCCTGGTTACAGGTAATTACTGTAGATGACAGAAAAATTATAACATTGTGTAACTGAGATGGAAATTGTGATCATATAATGATAAGAAAATATGGTAACACTTTACAATAAGGTTCCATTAAATAATGTTAGTTAATGCATCTGTGTTTACATTAATTCCCACCCAAAATTATTGTCAGTGATCGCTTTTCTATGCACATGGTAGACCCTCTGGTTTTGAAATCCCGGAAAATAATGGTAATTTTCATCTACAGGTTGTTAGATGTAGAATTCTGAAGTGAAATAAAGTAGCGCTGTAAGAATATATTTATTTAAATGAATTAAAATAAATTAACGAGAGAGAGAGTGCGCGAGTCTATTAGTAGACTAATAGTGAAGCTTGTTCGTTTAATTACAAAAACAGCGAAGTTATCACCTCATTGCTGAGAAATATAATGTAGCTTTTAGAAGGGAAATGGTTATGTTTATAAAATTCACAGGGCAGGGGTTAAATGGTGCGCAATTTCTTAAATATATAAAGTTCCAGCCTCAATAAAATGCGAGCGCACGCCGGCATTAAAACGCTATCTTTATCAGCAAACATGTCGCCCTCGCATTGTGGTGGTTTGGAGTTCTGAGGGGAATCGATATGTGTGTCCATCAGATGTCCAGATATCGGATATGTATCTGATTTAAAACCACATTTGCAGAGCCCAATTTGTTGCCCAATCCAATCCAGTTGTGCCCAATTCTGACCCCCTGCCAGATTATTACCGCCTAGTATTGGTAGGTTTAGGAGTAGGTGTGGGGGAGGGGTTAGGATTATGCCGAGTTCACACTGCACGATTTTCAAAGACGTCTCATCACTGTTCGATTTCGGGCATTTGTCGGCGATTTCGCAAAACCTGTCAGCGAGTGAGAAATCTGGCTAAAATCGTGCAGTGTGAACTCGGCATTAGGCAATCAGGTAGCAACTTGAACGAAGGGGGTGATAATTTGGCAGGGGGTCAAAATTGGGCACAACACCGGCCCAAGTCATAAGCAAACTAATGCCGAGTTCACGCTGTCGGCGATTCACAATCACGCTGTGTGCAATGATTTTTGACTGAAAACTACATCGGCGATGACCTACAGACAATGAGAGACCAAGAGACAGGGCAGAGGGAAGTTCCGGGAGGAGTTATAGACCAGAATATCAGTATTTTAATAGATATATGAACAATTATATCATACAGAAACAAGCACAAACATTTGCTTGACCAGCCACAACATCAGCATAGAAACCCCCTGTCGCCGATCCATCGTGCAGTGTGAACACAGCAGCGGCTGAATGCTACCCCAGATAGTCACGCAGTGTGAAAACAACGGCGATCCCACGAGTTTGAAAATCGTGCAGTGTGAACTCGGCATAAGCGGCTGCCTCGGGCCCCCGTGGCCGCCAGGGGGCCCCCAAGAGTATATGAAACGACAGCTTGATTTTGATTTATTTATTTTGTGTGTGTGTGTTATATATTGTCAATGAACAATGGTAATTGTCCTGGCTGACTAGTTAATTAGCATAGCCAAAGTAGGGTATATTGTTTTAGGGAAGTTCATGTTTGATTAAATATCCGTAAATAGCCTTGACATCTTAATATATTATCATATTTTACTTAGCCAGTTTTTGATTAAAGTTTTTGTCTTCTGTTTAAAAATAACTTTCCTGGGTATACATTTTTGTAATAAAAATAAGCTTCTGTTTCATAAACTTTGTGCTGATAACAGCTTAACATTATTTACCTTATAGCCTAACTATTATATTCCAATATCATTATGCCTCAATTAGCTAGTTATAGATTAAGAGTTGTTTTAGATGTGTATTTAATAATTTATGTTATTAAAATAACATTCTGTTCCGTAAATGCATTGTCTGCTGGTTTATTTAGCTACTTTTCAGTACACCACATTAAATATGCCACTTACTACTGTAAGACTTTGAATGTTAAAGTGCAAATTAACACCAGACCACTCTTGTGGGTTTGCTAATGTTACAATTAAAAATTGTAGAAGGGTAAAAACATGCCAGGCAGACTTTAGTATGATGCAAGCAACACAGCTACAACAAATAAAATTGATAATGGGTGTGTTAGATTTATAGTGTGCGAATAATCAAGTATCGACAATAATCAGTCATATTGGTGGTGCTGAGAGGCCTCCATGTAAAGTTCTGCTTAGGGCCCCATAAAGGCTTGGGCCGGCTCTGTGAAAGTGGCTCAGATCGAAAATGGGATTCTGCGTTTACACTGGCACAAAAAATCAGATTTTTTTGCTCACATCTGACACAGAACGGAATTTCACAAAAATCCACACGAGTCCGCATCGGATACCAGTCGTGTTTAAGTGAATGTCAATGAGCGGGCCAAAAAATCGGATATGGTCAAAAGATTGGATGTGTGCATTAAGACCTGCAGTGTAAATGCAGTCTTTGTGTTTACACGTGTGCAACAAATTCCAATCTGTGTCAGATGTGAGCAAAAATCAGATTTATTTGTGCCAGTGTAAACGCAGCCAAAGTGACAATTCCAAAATTAGTTGTTTTAGCAGCTTGATTTCAATAAAAGCTGTTTTTTGAACAAGAAAGACTGAGTTCTGAAACTTACAGGATGTTTTTATAGTACATTGACCCATTATATGTCGAACGATCAAGGAAAATTTGATTTCTCAGTTCATGACCCTTTTAAGACACAGTCTTTAAAGGGATAGTTTACCCAAAAATTAAAATTACTCCATGATTTACTCACCCTCAAGCCATAGGTGTATATGACTTTCTTCTTTCAGACGAATACAATTATAGTTATATTTAAAAATGTCCTGGCTCTTTTAAGCTTTATAATGGCAGTGAATGGTTGAGATTTTGAAGCAAAATAAAGTGCTTCCATCCATCATAACCTCCGGTTAATAAGGTTAATAAAGACCTTCTGAAGATAAGCGATTCGTTTGTGTAAGAAAAATATCCATATTTAAAACCTTAGAAACCATAATCACTATCTTCTGCTAACTGTCATTCGTGTGTTCACGAGAGAGTGGCGTTCCAGTGGATGATGTAGGACATAGACGTAGAAGTGACGAACACGGAAGCACAGAGGAGAGAGCAAAACAAAACACCGGTCACAAATGAGAAGTACAAAAAGGGGATTGGTAAAGAAACATGTCAGAGGATTTCAATATAAGCCAACAGGAGACTGGTTTTCCTTTGCTGTAAACAAAACTTGGTTCTCTCGAGACTAGCATATTCTCACCAGAGCTTACGCTATGCCTACGTCATCCGCTGGAACACCACTCTCTCATGAACGCGCGTATAACAGTTAGCGGAAGCTAGAGATTACGGTTTATAAAGTTTTAAATATGGATATTTTTCCTACACAAATGCATTGGTTCAGAAGGCTTTTATTAACCCCTGGAGCCGTGTGGAGTACTTTTTATGATGGATGGATGCACTTTATTTTGCTTCAAAATATCAACCACCATTCACTGCCATTATAAAGCTAGGAAGAGCCAGGACATTTTGTAATACAACTCTTGATTGTATTCATCTAAATGAACAAAGTCATACACACCTAGGATGGCTTGAGGGTGAGTAAATCATGAGGTAATTTTAATTGTTGGGTGAACTGGTCCCAGGCAGGTGTGGCCAATTAGCAAGCTCCACCTAATGAATGATGATCTCTAATTCATAGTTTTCAGTGACGCCAAGACCTGGAGGACAAAACATCCATAGAACTGGAGCACAGGCCTGTCAAGTTTTCATCTGTTTCAAGCCACGAATCTTTAGATTACAGGAACAAACTAACACAGAACAAACAAACAAACTGCAAGTTCTGGGCATTTAGAATCCATATACCGCACCCACTGTAGTATTTTATCACCAAAAGCAGCAGGACATCCTAAATGTGCTTAAAAAATGCTTAAAGTGGCTTTATACTGAATTTGGTCTTTTAAGATCACTGTCTTAGTACATTAGTACTTAGTGCAAAACTGGTAAAAAAGTAATTGGTTGGCAGCGGAAGAAGCCTTGTTTTGCCCTCCAGGTGGGTGTTCCTATAAGGATGTGAAGTCACGTGAAAAATATGAATTCGCACAAAGGATGCCGCTGCAAAAGTTGAATGCAGTTGTGAATGCTAAGTGAATAGAATACTAATTGGATGCAGTTGTTTAAGGACATTGATTATTTTTGACACACTATGTTCTCCAGCAAGAGTCACAGGTCAGTCTTTAAACCCAGGGATTTTGATTGTGGCGGCTGTTGATTTATCTCTCCTTTTGGCATGGTCACATGTCTCATAATAAAGTGCAATATTTATGATCCCTTTTATTTGCTTTTATTCATTTTTTTCTGATTCTGCAAGGGGTATGTAAACTTATGTCAAGACCTGTAGCTATTAATTGTATTAAAATGAATAAATTACCTCTGAACATATAAGATCTTGCTCTTTAAGGTCAGTCAACCGAGAAATATCAGAACCCAGTTGTGTGTCCATGAAGAGTGAACGGTCAATGGGATGCCCTCCAAAATTCAATGACAAAGGATGTCTTCCTGATCACAGGTAATTAGATTGTGAGGAGATATAAACATTTGGAATACTGAGTCCATGATGCATTTTATACAGCCTTTTCACAGTAACTACCTTACTTATCTAGGTAGACCCATATACTATATTACCCTTCCACCACCACCAGGCTTGTTCCATGTTTGAAACATTTTGATGTGTCAGACTTTTTTGTTTTTCAGAGTCTGGCAGGAGAAGTCGGACAGAGAAACTGGACAGAACAGCTGGAAAAGAAACCAGAGAATCAGCATCAGAGACCAAGAGTGAGACTATAATTTACATATCTAAAAACAAATAGCTTAGAAGAAAAATTAATTTCTGATCTTCTCACAAATAATGGCTCTAACAGTTTTTTTCCTTCCAAATCTTGTTCAAAAAAAAAAACTATTACAAGCAGGCATATTTGGACTGTATTGATCAGACTGCATATGTTTACTAATACACAAATATTTTATATTTATAGCAATGCATCTCAAGTTGACAATGCAGTTAAAAGAAAACTAAAAATGAAGTTTCAGTGTTTATATGAGGGAACTGCAAAGCAAGGAAACCCAACACTCCTGAATGAGATCTACACAGAGCTCTACATCACAGAAGGTCAAAGTGAAGGCTGTAATGAGCATGAGGTGAGACAGATTGAAACACAATCCAGGAGAGCAGCAACAGAGGACACGCCGATCAAATGTAATGACATCTTTAGACCTTTACCTGGACAAGACAAAGCCATCAGAACTGTGCTGACAAAGGGAGTCGCTGGCATTGGAAAAACTGTCTCTGTGCAGAAGTTCATCCTGGACTGGGCTGAAGGAAAAGAGAATCAGGAGATCCACCTCATATTTCCACTTCCTTTTAGAGAGCTCAATTTGATACAAGACCAAAAACTCAGCCTTTTAGACCTTCTTTGCATTTTTTTCACAGAAACAAAAGGAATGGGAATATTCAGCAGTGAATATAAAGTGTTGTTCATCTTTGATGGTCTGGATGAGTGTCGTCTGTCTCTGGACTTTCACAGCGATGTGAGGTTGTGCGATGTGACTGAATCAGCCTCAGTGGATGTGCTGCTGATGAACCTCATTGTGGGGAATCTGCTTCCCTCTGCTCTCATCTGGATCACCTCCAGACCAGCAGCAGCTGATCTCGTCCCCTCTGAGTGTGTCCATCGAGTGACAGAGGTACGAGGCTTCAATGAGCCACAGAAGGAGGAATACTTCAGGAAGAGAATCAGTGATCAGAGTCTGGCCAATACAATCATCTCACACCTGAAGTCATCAAGGAGCCTCTACATCATGTGCCACATCCCAGTGTTCTGCTGGATCTCAGCCACTGTTCTAGAGAAGATGTTGAGTCAAGCAGAGAGTGGAGAGATTCCCAAGACTCTCACTCAAATGTACACACACTTCCTGATCATTCAGACCAACATCAAACATGAGAAGGACTATGAGAAGACAGTGAAAGATGAAGACATGATTCTCAAACTGGGGAAAGTGGCTTTTCAGCAGCTTGTGAAGGGAAATCTGATCTTCTATGAGGAAGACCTGAGAGAGTGTGGCATTGATGTGACAGAAGCAGCAGTGTACTCGGGATTGTGCACTCAGATCTTCAGAGAGGAGTTTGGCTTGTATAAGGGGAAAGTCTTCTGCTTTGTTCATCTGAGCATTCAGGAACACCTTGCAGCTCTGTATGGGCACCTGTCCTTCATAAATGACAACATAAATGTGTTTGATCTGATTAACAAAGAAAGGTTGTTGTCAAAATGTTTGAACTTTATGAAATATAATTCATCAAAACAGATTTTGATATCAAATTTTCATCAGAAAGCTGTGGACAAGACATTACATAGTAAGAATGGACATTTGGACCTTTTTCTCCGTTTCCTTCTGGGCTTCTCACTGGAGTGCAATCAGACTCTTTTACAAGGCCTTCTAACACAGACGGGAAACAACTCGCATAATAAAGAGAAAACAGTTGAGTACATCAAAAAGAAGATCGAGAAGAATCCTTCTCCAGAGAAATTCCTTAATCTGTTCCACTGTCTGAGTGAACTAGGCGACTGTTCTCTAATGGAGCAAATTCAACATTATGTGACAGCTGGAACAGTAAATAAAGTGAAACTGTCCTCCTCACAGTGGTCAGTTTTAATATTTGTGCTTTTGACATCGGAGCAAGAGATGAATGTGTTTAAGCTCAAAGATTTTGTTGGATCACAAATTAAAGCTGATGAAGTTCTTCTAAAGCTGCTGCCTGTGGTTAAAGCATACAGATCAGCTCAGTAAGTAACACTAGGCAAACATTTAAATGGAGTTCAGTTTGTTAAAGTCTACAGACATGTTTGCATGAGTTTAGTATATAGGCCTAAAACTTAATTAACATTTGCGGTAATATATTATGAATATCCCGTTTTTAGTTGAGTCCTGAATTTGTCTGTGAAGTAAAATAGAAATGCAACATCAATTAAATCTGAAACCGAGAGGGAATGAACTATAGCAGCAGCGTCCAATCCTGCACCTGGGAAATTTAGTTCCAACCTCAATTAAACACACCAGAACCAGCTAATCAAGGACTTCAGATTGGGGCTAAACTCTGCAGGACGTTGGCCCTCCTGGAGCAGGATTGGACACCCCTGAACTACATGATTCAGGAGTGAAGCTGTAAAAACTGTTCAATCATTCACAGCACTAGTTTGGAAAATCATGAACTTATGATCTTACAGTAACGATTGGTTATCAACTCAGTTAATTGTTATATGCATGCATACTAGAAAAATGTGTCATTGTCTCTGCAGGTTGAACAGTTGTGGTGTTACTGATGAATGTTGTGTTGCTCTGGCTTCAGTTCTGAGATCAAATCCCTCACAACTGAGAGAACTGAATGTATCTGGGAATAAACTGGGAAATTCAGGAGTGAAGATGTTCTCATCTGGACTAGAGAATCCTCACTGTAAACTGGAGAAACTGTGGTAAAATCATCTCTCTGACAGTTGCAAATGAATTACTGAAGTGTTGTAGAATTAGAGTTTCAACTTTGACTTGCAAATAAGCAGAACACATTATCAAAGATCAGCTATTAGTGTCAAATGAACCAGCGTGGGAAAAATAATGGTGCAACAGTCACTGTGAGTGGTTAAACAGAAAACACTCCTGAACGGAGAAGAAACTTTGTTTGAATCACTGTCCCTCCAAATAACCACAACTTGTGTCTCAAATAACAGAGAAAACATATTTAGCTTAAGTCTTTAGTAATGAACTCAATGTTCAGGGCATGCTATAATAATCACATTCAATCTGAGCACTGTTAATGATTGGAGGGAAATGATTTAGTTTCTTTTCAGGATCACAGTTTCATCCAGTGTTTGAAGCTGGCTGGTACTAAATGGTAGAGAGAGTAATAATTTAATATTAGAATCCATCCATCTCTTCTTCAAACTACTTATTCTCTGTAGCGTCTTGGACAGATTGTAATAATTGAATATAATGTAATAACAGTATAATGTTTGTGACAAGATCATTTATTATAGCTCAACATTTTACTAAGAGGTTAGGAGGTACTCTAGTCTACCACAGCAACCATTAATAGTGCCGCAGCTAAATATATTTAATGTTTTATTAAAGTATTATTATTTTTTATTAATCTATGTTATGAACTGACAGAGTTAGTGTTTCTCTGCAGGTTGAGGTATTGTGAAATCACAGACGAAGGTTGTGCTGCTCTGGCTTCAGCTCTGAGATCAAACCCCTCACACCTGAGAGAACTAGATCTGTCATGGAATAAACTAGGAGACTCAGGACTGAAGCAGCTCTGTGAAGGACTAAAGGATCCTCAGTGTAAACTGGAGAAACTGTGGTAAGATCATGTCTGCAAGAATTCAATCTGAACTGGTCCTCAGAGAGGAAGCCCCACTCTCTCATCATCTCATCATATGACAACTACTTTCCCCCCCTATTTTACACTTTTTGTCTATTTTTTAACAAACATGGTATTAAAAAAGAAATTTACATAGAAAAATGTGACAGTTGATAACTGAAGAGTAATCTGATTTATTCTTTATATTGATGTGATTCATGTTTTCTCTCATCTAATTATCATACAGTTTTTGTAAACACCAATTAGTGAATAATGCTCCAGATTTGTTCCGTGTCCCAAGATTGGTTCCACACAGAACATAAATCATTTCTCATAAATTGATATAATACTGAACATAATATTTTATTTACCCACATGGATCAGTTAAACCATCTTACACTATTAAGGAAGCTGTGCAACAGCAGCATCAGCAGTGGCTAATTTATGTTGTTTCCACTTCACCTGCTGTTGTTTTTATCGTAATCATTCATAATCATAATTTTTTTTCTCAGGAATGGCCCAACTGTGAGTGTGGCCATCTAGTGGGCCCACTACTTAGTACAGTCATTTATGTGCCATACATGTGCTGACACTTTCACTGTATGCAAGACTAGAAAGGGTGAGCTGCAGGTGTAAGTCCGCACCATAGACTGTATAAAACAATGGACATAGTGTCCATGACGTCACCCGTAGGTTTCTGAAGAGCATTTTTGAAGGCCAAAGTGGGTGGAGCCAGCTGTCGCCATCTTG